GCCCATGGAGGACAGGGAGGTAATTTGAGACAGCCAGCATGGCTTCACCAAGGGCAAGTCCTGCCTGACCAACCACGTGGCTTTCTATGATGGAGTGACTACATCAGTGGACAAGGGAAGAGCTACAGATGCCATCTATCTGGACTTCTGTAAGGCCTTTGACATGGGCCCCCACAACATCCTTCTCTAAATTGGAGAGATATGGATTTGATGGCTGGACTGTTCAGTGGATGAGGAATTGGTTGGATGGTTGCATCCAGAGGGTAGTGGTCAACGGCTCAATATCCAGATGGAGATCGGTGACAAGTGGTGTCCCTCAGGGGTCTGTATTGGGACCAGTGCTGTTCAATAACTTCATCAATGACACAGAGTGAGATTGAGTGCACCCTCAGCAAGTTTGCAGATGACACCAAGCTGAGTGGTGCGGTTGACACACCTGAGGGATGGGATGCCATCCAGAGGGACCTGGACAAGCTCAAGAAGTGGACCCATGTGAATCTCATGAGGTTCAACAAGGCCAAGTGCATTGTCCTGCACCTGGGTCAGGCCAACCCCCAGTATCAAATACAAGCTGGGGAAAGAAGGGATTGAGAGCAGCCCTACAGAGAAGGACTTGGAGGTACTAGAGGATGAAAAGCTGGACATGAGCCAACAATGTGCACTTGCAGCCCAGAAGGCCAACCGTATCTTGGGCTGCATCAAAAGAAGCATGGCCAGCAGGTCAAGGGAGGTGATTCTGCCCCTGTATTTCACTCTCGGGAGACCCCACCTGGAGTACTGCATCTAGCTCCAGAGCCCTCAGCACAGTAAAGACGTGGACCTGTTGGAGCAGCTCCAGAGGAGGGCCACAAAAACAATCAGAGGGATGGAACACCTCTCCTATGAGGACAGGCTGAGAGAGATGGGGTTGTTCAACCTGGGAAAGAGAAGGCTCCAGGGAGACCTTATTGTGGCCCTTCAGTACTTAAAGGGGGCTTATAAGAAAGACGGGGACAAACTTTTTAGCAGGGCCTGTGGCAATAGGACACGGGGTAATAGTTTTAAACTAGAAGAGGGTAGATTTAGACTAGATAAAAGGAAGAAGTTTTTTAGAATGAGGGTGGTGAAACACTGCAGCAGGTTGCCCAGAGAGGTAGTAGATGTCCCATCCCTGGAAACGTTCAAGGTTAGGTTGGACAGGGCTCAGAGCAACCCGATCTAGTTGACAGCAGGTTGCCCAGAGAGGTAGTAGATGTCCCATCCCTGGAAACGTTCAAGGTTAGGTTGGACAGGGCTCAGAGCAACCCGATCTAGTTGAACATGTCCCTGCTCATTGCAGGGGGGTTGGAGTAGATGACCTTTAAAGTTCCCTTCCAACCCAAGCTATTCTATGATCACTCGGTGGTTTCCAAGTGTGGATAGTAACATACATAAATTTCTCCATCCTGACACAGGGTTTCCTTTGTCTTCATCTCCTGTCAGAGAATATGGGAAGCAGCAAAGTATCCTGTTTTCCCAATGACAGAGAAGCAGGTCACACTCTTCATTTCTGAATCACCAACTGTTAAGCAGTTTCTTTCCAAACTATGTCTGTCTCTTGCCTTTAGCCGGGAGTGCATAATTCACACTTGAAACTTCATACAGAAACACACAGCTGCCTCTATCTTCAGACAAGCAGACTGCTCTTTTGACTTCCATTCAAGAGCTTACTCATGCTTTAGTTAATAATTCTTCTCTTCAAAGGTGGCAGATCTTGGAACTCTCCTCCATCCCAGAGACTCACATACATACATTTCTGCACTGTACAGGTGGGGCTGCCAAAGCCATCCCAGTGTCACTGAGTGGATTCATATTTGTAAACGGCTTTTCTTTTCTTTTTCTTCTTCTACTTTGATATTCACACCCTACTGCCCAATGCCTGTGAACTAATCACTTTTAGTAGGACTTACATTCCTTAACTACATTATGTGAGCTCTTAAGCAGTACTTAAGATATCTAAACAGTTTTTCACATACAAGGTTCTTCCAGTAACTCTTCAAATCCCTCTGTTTCTCAATGGATTGTTAAGTACTAGAACAAAAAAAAAAATGCAAATTTCCTTCCCTCCATTTTAACCAGAGTGTCACTCAGGCTACAGCATGTGCTCTGCACATTAGTAGCAGTTAAGCTATAAAAATGAACTAATATGTGTTGTGTAAGATGCATTCATATTTTCAGAAGTTAACAGAACACCAACAGAATGGTTATTTTAACTGCAATTTGCTACAGGTCTTCATTCCAATCCTTCCACTTCTTGAAGCATCTTACCAGTTCCATCATCTGCATCATTCTGACCAGTCTCCCAAATCTCTGATTTTGTCCCAAAGCCATCAGTGGCAGAAGACTCCGTATAGTCTGCAGGGTTAAATGTCCTAGAGTTTTAAAAGTTAAGAAATGGAAGAGAACACATGGGTCATTCAATGAACACAAGTGTCATCATTTTTAGCTGAAGTTGTATTAGATTTAACACCTCGATTTCCACGTAATTTATCTTGATAAATTTGGTTTCAAAAGATTTTTTTTCCCCTCTATGAGCAGATACAGATAAAAAAGGAGAAAAGAAGAGAAAAAAAGCGAGGAGACTGAAAAAAAATTACTGTAGAGAAACTGAATTAAAACAACTGCTTTTTCAGGAATTGTTAACAGCATACCTACTCCTCCCAGTCTTATAAAGCATTAGTTTATATGCACAACGATAAGCCCCTCTCAGTTGATAGTTTCTCAGCAGGTGGCTGACTGATGAGAAACCAGTATCATATCCTTTCAGAGCACCAGACCTGTGCAGGACAGGAGTCGGAACATCAGTAAGATTACTTCAGAATGCACTCCTGACACCAATGCCAAAACACACAGATGCAGCTAAAAGGTGAAAAAGGATTACTGAAGAAAAAACTATTTTCATTTTACCATCTAGAAGTATAAACAAGAAGGATTATTAGAGAAGTAGAATGAGCCTTCTGTTCATCGTGACATCGCTGATATTACACGAAACGTCATTGAAGGCAAACACTAAGTGAAAGTAGTGGAGGCTACACTTCTCTGAAGCAAGTTATTCCAACAAAACTGAGAACAAACTTTAGAGTTGCTGAGTAACTTCTTTTGATTCTGTTTTAGGGTCACTGTATGTCCAAACAGCTAAAGCATGATATCTCAAAAACAGGAGAACGTTTATAGTTGCTAGTCTTTCTGGTTTTATATAGAACTTGGACATTCTACGTTACACTGAAACAAATCTTTTTTTGAAGTGACCTAGGACTATATGCACTACACAGAACTTTCAGCCTCCTAGGTACTATGTGGGTGCTACTGATGGAGAACCCATTTGTACCTAAGTTTGACACATTAACATTGAATGAACTTACATTAGGTTTGTATAGACGTGCCTAGTTAGAAATATTGGTTTGAGACAAAAATAATCCATTAATCATCTAACAGATCTGTGAATTTTTGCATCCATATTGGTTTATCAAACATACAGTAATATTAATACATACAATGGCAATATTAATATTGTCAATTAACATTGCTACTGAGTTTGATCCTTGCCAAAAAATCTGTGCTCTGCATGTTTCTTACCCCATGCCTTGGGCTGAAAACCTCCCTGCTCCTCTCCCTCTGCCACGTCCAAACCCTAGGAGAGAAAACACCATTTAACAGCAACAGCAGAGGAGCCGCCAATCGCTAGTCTGTCACATTAGAAAATGTCACGGGAGGTGATTCTGCCCCTCTACTCCATTCTCGTGAGACCCCACCTGGAGTACTGTGTCCATCTCTAGAGCCCTCAAACATAAGGAGGACATGGATCTGTTAGAGCGGGTCCAGAGGAGGGCCACAAAGATGATCAGAAGGCAGGAGCACCTCTCCTATGAGGACAGGCTGAGAGAGTTGGGGTTGTTCAGCCTGGAGAAGAGAAGGCTCCAGGGAGACCTTATAGCAGCCTTCCAGTATCTGAAGGGGGCATACAGGAAAGACTGGGAGGGACTCTTTGTCTGGGAGTATAGCGATAGGACAAGGGGTATCTGTTTTAAACTGAAAGAGGGGAGCTTTAGCTTAGATATTAGGAAGAAATTCTTTCCTTTGAGGGTGGTGAGACACTGGGACAGGTTGCCCAGAGAAGCTGTGGATGCTCCACCCCTGGAAGTGTTCAAGGCCAGGTCAAATGGGGCTTTGAGCAATCTGGTCTAGTGGGAGGTGTCCCTGCCCAGGACAGGGGGGTTGGAACTAGATGATCTTCAAGGTCCCTTCCAACTCTAACCACTCTATGATTCTATGATTATTAGTTCACTGTTGGTTCAGCTCTCTGAACCAATTCCCTGCTTGCTAAACACCAGAAAACCAGTCACCTTTACACCAGGATAAGCCACCCAAAAAGCCTGTTTTCCACAGCTACCACACTGCTTGCCCCCTGTTTTCTTTTTTGGCTTGGTTAGTTTTAAACTTAGATCAATCCTCTTATACAGTTCAAATGCACCAGGAAACAGACAGGACCAATTCCTCCCAGCAGTAGTGCCAGTTTATGGTTGTAACGTAAAAAGTATAGCTTTAACACTACTCTAAGGTGTGTATATATGGTTTAGATCACAACAGTCAATGGTTACCAAAAAAAAAATTCCTGTGGTAATTCACAATCAGCAATTCTTCTATCAACATTTTTATCTACCCACAAAAAGAGAACAAGTGACTTGGCAGTAGCTCATTAAATCTTCTAGTGAGTCTAAAGGAGTAGAATTTCTTACAATCAATCAGCATATTTAACACAAAAGCAAATGACAGACATCAGGCAAAGAATAAAATTACTGCCCTGCCTCATATAAACCCTCAAAACATTTTTTCACATTCCTTTACGCCTGGATCTACAAACAGCAGCCTACAGTATCAAGGCAGCATTGTTTACTCATTTCTGTTCCAGGAAACCAGGACTGAGGAACTATGTTTAAAGTCGATTCTGATCAACATTACTGCTACTACCCCTTATATAGCCTTATACAGCATTATTTAAAACAATGAACTATTTAAAACATGGTTTTGTTTTCTTCAACATTGTAACTCTGTTCAACTGTGTATTGTTGGGGTGTTTTTTCCTGCTCTCCAGCACATCTCACTCAGTTGACTAGGTTCACATTAGCCATCACTTATTCAATTTACATTTTTATTTTCTGGAATGAGTTCTAGAGAAGTCAACACTTATACCCAGGCAGGTGGCAAGACTTTCTGTTTCCGCTAAGACCCAGTGGGAGTTCAAAAAGCTCATAATCACACAATCAAGTCTTTACTCTGGTACTGTTCATGCATGGAAAGAATCATTCATCTCATTCACAGCGTTTCTTCCCCCAAAACAAACGCACACTACGTGAGAGCATGAGAAAAGTGTGTAGTACCACAACTCAGATGGGAATAGCCCATTAACTTAATAGCCTATTCTGTAGAAAATCCAGTTTGCTGAGCTTGCAGACCTAAATCCTTCCACAGCAACACAGATGCTTTATTTCAAAACTCAGATTTTCACACTGACAGGTTTAACCTTAAAGTGTCTTCATCTAATTTAAGAAAGAGGCCTAAGAACAGCTGAAAGGAAAACAAAATGCAGACTGGAAGGGCAGGCAACATCCTAGATATGTGCTCATCTCACAGTACACAGTTACACAGTAACTGAACAGCCCTGGTCTCTGCTCTGGAAATGCAGAGCCAGCCATCTTCCCAGCAGATGCCAAGGTGACAGAGGCTTAAGCCTTATGAAGACATAAGGAGGCTAAGTATAAAAAGTTTGTATTCTAGGTATTCCATACTACCAAAACAAATACTGAAGTTCTATTTAATAATTCAAATCACTTCTGTCTTATTAGTCATCATAAAGCTAGAAGCATTGGATCAGTTTTATATACTGCATGTACTCTAGTAACCATTTTTAGAAGCACATGCAGAAAACTTTCAACTCAAAAGTTAAGTTTAAAAGAACATAATAACATGTCAAAGCTAAGTTCTGGTTAATCTAAAAAAAAAAAAAATTAATTTATATGACACACAGCTTCCTAACCAATACAGAACCAACTACAGCAAAACTAAATGGACTTCAGAATTTGACCTCCAGAAGGTCTGCTCTACATTCATGTTTTAGAAAAACCATCATCCTTACTAGTTCCGGCAAAGGAAATGCGAAATACATCCTGTGCCAACTGTGCTAATCTTCTAAAACAAGAAAATGTTTAGACATGCAATTCTGGTTACAGAAGCTCTTTTTTTTTTTCCCCCCACCCCAAGGATAGCATATTACTTACCTAAAAAGAGATCAAGAATGCAAGCTGGACTATAGTCAGATATTTACAAAAAGGGTAAGCTGCTTTGCTATCTTATGCAGCCAGCAGAAACCCAAAAAGTTTGAAAGACTCCTTGTCATGCTGATTAAGTTCAAAATTAAAATGTAATGTTTTTCCCTCTCATTTTTATTCCTATTTTGCTAGAAAAAAAAATCCGTCAGCATCCACATTTATGGCATGTTCATGTTGCTCTGTAAAAAAGAAGAGTACTGGGTTCAGTCTTACTCAACATATTCATCAGTGACCTGGATGAAGGGATAGAGTGTACCATCAGCAAGTTTGTTGATGACACAAAACTGGGAGGAGTGGCTGACACACCAGAAGGCTGTGCCGCCATACATTGAGACCTGGACAGGCTAGAGTGTTGGGGAGAAAGGAACCTCATGAAGTTTAAGTGTAGGGTCCTGCACCTAGGGAGGAACGCAGCAGTACAGGTTAAGGGTTGACCTACTGGAAAGCAGCTCTGCAGAGAGGGATCTGGGAGTCCCGGTGGACAACAGGATGACCATGGGTCAGCAATGTGCCCTGGCGGCCAAGAAGGCCAATGGCATCCTGGGGGGCATCAAGAAGAGTGTGGCCAGCAGGTTGAGGGAGGTCATCCTCCCCCTCTACTCTGCCCTGGTGAGGCTGCATCTGGAGTACTGCGTCCAGTTCTGGGATCCCCAGTTCAAGACAGACAAGGAACTACTGGAGAGAGTCCAGTGGAGGGCTACAAAGATCATTAGGGGACTGGAGCATCTCTCTTATGAAGAAAGGCTGAGAAACTCGGATCTGTTTAGCCTGGAGAAGAGAAGACTGAGAGGGGATCTCATCAATGCTTATAAATATCTAAAGGGCGGGTGTCAAGAGGATGGGGCCAGACTCTTTTCCGTGGTGCCCAGCAACAGGACAAGGGGCAATGGGCACAAACGTGAACATAGGAAATTCCATCTGAACATGAGGAGGAACTTCTTTACTTTGAGGGTGACAGAGCACTGCAACAAGCTGCCCAGAGTGGTTGCGGAGTCTCCCACACTGGAGATATTCAAAACCCACCTGGATGCATTCCTGTGCAACCTGCTCTAGGTGAACCTGCTTTGGCAGGGGGATTGGACTAGATGATCTCTGAAGGTCCCTTCCAACCCAAACCATTCTGTGACACTGTGAAGAGGAAGGGAATCACGAAACAGAAGTAAAAGCAACAAATCCATTTTCACCTTGCAAACCAGGAGAATTGCTGCTACACATGAATCTGTAACAATTTCTATGCTGAATCAAGTCCAAAAGTTCATCTACCTGCTATCCTACTATCAGCTACAGTCAATTAGATATCTAGGGAAGAGCACAAGAACTTGTTCTGGTTTGAGGTAAAACAGGACCAATTTTGGTCAGTAACTTTGCTGCTTAGCTGGGCCTCTTCTAACTACTGAAATTAACAGCATATTGTGCTGACAATGTTCCCTCTCTCAGAGTGGTAAGACCTATGTTTATAGTTGATGCCCAGGCATGGTATGCAGAGAGGACCTTGCTTATACTTATTGCTATAACAACCAAGGCCAGCTAAGAAGCAAAGTTACTGAACAAAATTGGTCCTGTTTTACCTCAAACCAGGACAGAACTGAAAGCACAGTGCAGTTTCTCTGGACACTCTCCTGGTCTTCAGCTATTTGTGCTCAGATTTCTTCAGCCAAAGATAATTTACATACATCAAAATCCTCAATGTTTTTTCCTTTTCTTGCTGTGGTTCTTTTTGTAGGATGAAATTGTCAAGTCTCTCTGTGTGTAAGTTTTCAGCACACACATCTTATTGAAAAGAGTTCCCCAGGTTAACTACATGTATGAAGAACCACCTCTGTAAGTTCATTTTGAACCTGTAACCCACTAATTTAATTTAATATTCCCTCATTTGCATTCTTACTTGGAGTGATCAATTGATTTCCCCACAGAATCTTCTCCGCAGAAATTTTAGATCTCTACCATATACCCACTCAGCCCTCTCTTTTGCAGGTGGAAAAGTCCTAGTCTGCTTGTTCCTCACACCCCATAAATGCAACCTTCCCAGTACCTTCAAAAGCCTTTTCTAGCTCTACCACATCCTTTTCAACATGGAGTGGAGGACAGTGAGAGAAACAGACCTGCACTTAAAATTGAAAATCTGAGAACAGTACAAAACAGCAGCATGAAAAAAAATGCGCCTGTAAAGTTTGTCAATTTGTATATAACACTGCAGCTGATTAAAACACAAATGAGGAAACATTTCTAGAGCTGACAGTCCTAAAGACATAACCATCTTCTCCCATAATTCCTTCACGAGATTGCATTCCAGTTACAAATCCTTGCAATACTGACACATAAATATAATCACTTTGATGCAATTTCTATTCATCACCATTATAGGATTTTTACATCTAAATTAAGCTCATTCAAGAAATTCATTTCTGAAAAGAAAGACAGATGGGAAGGCCATCTTAAAAAAAAAAAAAAAAAAAAAAGAAATTCCTTCTCTCCTTTCCAAGCCAAAGTTTACACCCTTAGTTTAGCAAGCAAAGATTAAGGGCAGAGCAATTTCAGCTAGGATGTGTCCTGAAACACATCCTGTGATACATTTTTGCTTTCTGTTAATCAGTCAATAACACATATCTACTTCAAATCCCTTATCTCCTGCATACCAGCAACCAGTGGTGTTTCTATACTGTATACCTCCTACCCTATAAAGTTGCAAGGAATGTCACACAGGCATTAATGGAAGATCTACTGCACAATGAAGCTAGTGCCTACAGCACCAAGGCTGAAATACTCAGTATCAGGGTTTTTCACCCTCAGTAAACAGCACATTATCACTACAGTGACAATCCCATTTCCACTATTTTCAGTGCGTAACATTTCTTAAAATTAGGTTGTTCTACAGTGAAGCAGTAATACTATGGCTCAGCAAATCTTCCCCTAGAAAGCAGCCAGTAAGATAACTCCAGCTTGAGAAAGTAGCTTAAAATAACGAGACAGTGCATTGCTCAGATATTAGCTGATCCCTACACACACAGAGTGCATGAAACATTTCTAAAAAAAGGGTTCTGTGGTGATTACCAGCAATCTATTTACTTTCAGCTGAAGTGCTTTATCCCATATTTGACTACTCTGTGTAACAGAAAAGAAAGACTACTAAATGAAATGGCAGGAAGCTTTTTTAATTATTTCTACTAATATCCAAAGAAGGTCATGCATCCCTAAAATACCGAGAAGTGAATTATACAGCTTTATACAAATTCCTGCAGATTTCAAGGGCTCGCATTATAAAATTAAATTAGGTATTTCCTGCCACAGAATACACACACTTGTAATACAATGATCCTGAAGTCGTTCAACGGGTTTATCACAGACAGTTGAGAACACTTCATTAAGATACTTTGCTCACATGAACGTACACTCTAAAATATTTGGTAGAGAGATACAGTAATACTACGCACACTAAGCCAGTGAACAGAAATTGAAGTTGTTCTATTTCTTCAGTCAGATATGTCAGTTTGATCTGATGATTAAGTGCTTTGGCTTGAGACATACAATATTCATTTAGAGAGCTACAGTGTTGACAACAAAAGCAGTGTATTGTTCATAAGCTTACAAAGCAAAAAATAGACTGCATTTGAAATTAACCTTTAAGTTTCACCCAACAATTTAGGAAATCCTACATTTATATTTATAATTTGAGTATAAAGGATTATTTTATAAAACAAATAATCAAAATACTTACATTCCATCTATTAACAATGCTAACATACCAAAACCTGTAGCTGTACACTATCCCACACCCTCCTCTGCAAAACTACCTCTCTACACACACCATTTGGTATTTACTGATTCACAGGCACAATGTGTGCCTGAACATTCTCAACATGTGCCTGAACATTCTCAAAACCCTCTGAGAGCTACATGTCTTTGCATCTTTCCACTCCTTCAAGATGGAGATCTGGAGACAATGAAATTGAATGTGCCTATCTTTGAATGCTTTGTTACTGGATATTCCAAAGAGAAGAGAATCCTTTGAAGGCAGAATTTTTCATGACTCAGACATTATTTAAGTACATTAGCTCTGCTGTGCACTTTATCTATTTAACTCATTTAATACCCGCTTCCCCACACAATCTGCGCTGTACCTAGGCTACTTATTTTCATTCCTCCTGCTCTATGAAAAAACAAGACTCTTTCTACTCCAACCCATGAAAATCCAAACCAACTACACATCCCTTGATTCCACAGCAAATCCATTTTCAACATATTTCTTATCTCTTCTACAGGATAGGATCAGAGTTGTACCTAAGACACTGCAGTATTCTTTTTCCACAGTTCTCCTCATCCCAACTCTTCCATCCCAAATTCCTTCTCTTACCAAAAAGCCTCTAAGGTGGCTTGTACTTTGTCTGATTGAGTACTGAAAACAGAAGTCAAACCTGACAACTGAATCCACCCCAAATAAACAGCGCAAGTACACATCAAATCCCTCCCTGAGAGCCCTACAGATGGAATCTTGTACTCTCCTGCTGCCAAGGTACATTCTGAGGAGCCCAGTGCACTCCCAACTCACATGAGGCTGGCAGGAGTCGATCTGGGAAAACAGCTCTCCACAGCCAGAGCACACCAGCCTGCTACACAGGAAATTACCATAAAGGTGATTTGTGTCAATTCTTTTAAGTTGTTCTGAGACAAAGACGTGACAAGGAGTAAGGGAGGGGGGTGTACCTTAAATTAAAGGTGGCTGAAGAGCTTATGGAATCAAAGGATAACCAACAAATGCTTAAAAAGAAGCATTTAAAGAAATAAATGGGAGAGTTCCATTTCAGGACATGAAATCAGTGCCAGTCCCACACCAATGCCACTATCTCACCTCTCCCACGGCCATGTTTCCCACGGTCTGAAGGCTTGTCTCCTTGATTGTTGTCCACTCCATTCTCTTCAGCTCTAACTGTGGAGAGAGCACAGCTTAAGAGAAGCTTTAGAGACTCATACATAAGACAATATAGCCATCTGCTTAACCCGAACCCCAAAAGAAAAGGCAACTTTTTAAAGTGGGCTGGTCAACAATCTCAGTCACCCCTCTTCTTTGGGGGCCTAACTACAAGCAAATCGTTTACTTCACACTGGACAATTAGGAAGCAAAATATCGGGGGGGGCGCTGGGTGGCAACAGTGAAAGAATAAGGGATAACCAAGAACACCAACTCTTCTCCTGTCTGCCCATACCACATCCCTGTACAACCAGGGAAACTTAGAAGAAAAAAACTCTCCTCTGTATTTAAATCAGAGGGATGACAACTGGGTGAAGGTGAGGCATTAGAAAAACACTGTAACTTAACTATTCTGTGGAAAACTCCTGAGGAGGTATTCTGAAAGATGGCTGGTGTCTTGAAGAAAAAAAGAAAAAAACAAAAGAAAAAAACAGACTGGCCACTTAAAACACTGCTGAGATTTTGTACTGCACAACTTTTCTTAATGGCAGCACCAAAATCATCAATGCTTGGAGACTGGAAAGCTGGGAAGAGAATATCAAGATTTGGTAGCCATCTCAAAAAATCTTTAATTCCAGTTTATAAAAAGAGACAAGCAGCATTTGGCTCTGACAAATTTTGCTTCTCACTTTCATTTTGATGGATCCAATTTCAATGTGTTCTAAGCATAGCTGCAAATTTCATGAATATTTTTTCCTATCTTGACGTTACTCTATTCTACAAAGATTTAGATCTTCACTGGCACAATATTTGAATATATTTCGATAATGAATTAGAAGAGTTGGTTAATATTGTAAATATTTTTCCTGCTTAAGTGAAAAGTAAACTTTTTTTTCATTCTGGTTTCTCTGCTCATCTATCAGTGTTGTGTATGGCCCTTACAGGCAATGTATACAGCTTTGATAACGCTGATAAAACTTAGAGAAAAAAGTAACATGTATCCAATGGTGATCTCATGTGACCTAACTTGGAAACATCAGTTTGCTTTTGTACAATGCATTATTGCACCTGTATAAACTGTAGCAAATTTTTAAATGTTTCAACTTTCAAAGAATTTTCTCTGTTGTAGAAACTCACCTTTGGTTGGCTTATGTGAATAATATATGCTAGAGATTATTAATGTCTTTTCATTCCCCTTATGAGAAGATGAGAACATCTTCAGGTTCTCCCATTCATAAAAGGAGATGGAGTCAAAGCTGAATAATTTTTTCATTAAAAGAAACAAAAAAGTATCAGCTGTGCAGCAACATACTTGCTCTCAAGCAGTCTTACAAAGACTCAACTCTAAAACTTACGTAAAGAACAGCAATTTGTACAAGATCAATTAATCAAAGAAGGACAGAAATTTAAATTAAATTGAGCATCTCTGAATAAGCACAGACCATCCCAAAACCAAGTCACATAGACAGATCGAGCATACCTGTCGCAAAAACAAGTTACGATCCCTTCAGTGCCGAGCTATAGCTCGGACAGACTTTACTCCATTAAACATCTGCTCTCAACTCAGCCAGTTTCAGCTGCAAGAAGTGTCTGAATCTTTAAAAATGAACCCCTATACGTACACTCTCGTCCACGGCTGCCTCCTCTTCCCCGTCTGTTGGAACTTCCCCGTCCACGACTCACTTCTCTGTCCCCTCGTTTTTCTCTGTTCTCTTTGTTTTCTGAACTTTCCTTTCCAAGGCTTTTCTTTTTCCCCCCTACAGTCTCCCAAGAAGCCTATTAGGATAGAATAGAATTAGATACAAAAGTCAAAAAGGAGGAGACAGCTCTCAATGCATACTTCAACCTCTCATCCCTCCAGTTCATAGGAAAAAACCACAGGTATTTGCATGACATCACATATGTAATACCTTGCAAACTACATTGATACAAATGGAAACACAGGCTGTATTTTTGAGAATAAATGAGAAAAGTTTTAGAAGTTGGATTTTCTTATGAAATTTGAGAATCCCAAATATTTCTGGCGATAATGGACTTTCAGTAGTTCAAGGAAGCTTAGATACGACCACGATGCAGAAAATCTGTAAAGCAAGCAACAGTTTCCCTCTCAACTACCTCCATAAATCTAGCAAGGGAGCATGCACAGAGCTATCTTTTTCTCCCAAGAAAATGAAAAAATGCTTATAAGCATCATTGAACAATAGACTGCTGAGAATAAGTACATGGGGGGGGGGGGTAACTATTATCCAGATGTACTAGAATTCAAGCACCAAGAGACAGAATGGCAGAACAACTTGGGAAAACTGGGGCCATGATAAGCCAGACCATCCATTCTTAACAGCTACAGGTCATCACACACAACAAATTACAGGAAAAACTATGTCTAAACAAGACAAGGGATCAAGGTTCAAACATCAGGCTTCAGCTTTAATAATAAACTCCATCTTTAAAATAAATTCAAGGATCGTATCAGCTCTATAGTTGAAAATAAAATGATCAAAACACTTGCTAAGAACAGCACAGCAACTCATATTATGCAATTGCATGGTTAGTCTATTGAGCCATAGTTGCAAAGCAAAGAAGAAAAGTATTATTTACAAACCATTAAGATGGCAGAGAGGTTTATATATACATCCCCATCTCTACTCTAGGTAAGGTATTTAAGTGGGAAATTTGCATATGCAAATAAGGTGCCATCAACTGTGAAGCACTACATAGAGCCATGACCTCTGACAGGCACCTGCATCAAACAAAAAAGGTTGGCTTTTAGGTACTTCTAGGTCCTGTCCTCTTTCTTCTCAATTCGGACAACAACAATTCAGAAGCCCTCATGAGGTAGGCAATGACCAGCTAGTCCAAGCTGCCTAGAATTGAGAAAACTAATGCTACTGAGAAAGCAGATAACAAAGCAGTTTACAAGCATAAACTCAATGTTTCGGTGTCTCCTTTGAGAGACTAAGTACTAAGAGAATTGGTTACTCTCTAATTTTTGACATGGTATAGGTGAGAAAGAAGGCTGAAATCACTTTTCAATTTTGTCTCCAGTATAGAAGACTACACTGCCATAAGCTAACATAGGTGAAGCACAAAACTGAGTTTGAGCAAACCCTTCAAGTTGAAGGCCCACTGTCCTGGTTTGAGCAACACAGGACTAATTTCTCTTCTAATGCTTGGGAAGACCGCACTTTTAGAAGACTCCAGTGTCTGAATTTGGGAAAATATTTACTTTGTAGCCACCTATGGTGTGTGGGTTTCAAGGTCTCAGTGTTTTCAAGCTTGACAGGTGCAAGGATGAGGAGGAGCAAGACCCGGGCACTTGGCCCAAGCTGGCCAACAGGGTTATTTCATACCATCAATGTCACATTCACTATAAATTAGAAACCTTGCTGCAAAGTTCTCTCTCTCCCTTGATGGCTGCGATCCAGAGAACTTCTTGCCCCGGTGCCAGACCCCTGAGGCCTTCCCTTCCTCCTGAAGCCGTAGCGCTCGCAGTGTCCGACATTTGCTCTCCACTGCTGGGAGCGCACAGCTTCCTACTGATAGAATTGGCTGAGTATAGTCTTTGCATATTCTGTATTGGTGTCGGGATCAATATTGGTTCTTTAGTGCTGTTAATGTTAATTATCTAATCTTATTCTATTAAATCTGTTTATACTTCAACCCTTGGGTTTCCTTGTTTTTTCCCCGATTTCTCTTTCCCGGGTGGGGAGGGGTCATTGGGCGACAGAATGATTGTCTAGATGACAATAAATTGTTGTGGGTTTCTCAAACCGTAACACTCACAAACTTCCATAAAGAAGAATAAATTTCTTCATGCTCTGATGAGGACTCCCTTCTAATTAATACTCCTTCCTCCTTGAGCCCTTTAAGTTCTCTGTATTTGTTTCTGAGTTGCTTTTGTCTACAAAGAGCAGTGGGTTCAGAGGGACTTGTCAAAAGAGCAAAACATATGGATATATTGCTTCTAATTGATAAATGAGTTCAGAAAGTTTCTTCCATGTCATGATCACTTATAACAATTTGCTAAAGTAAGAAAGCATTTAATATTCTCTAAGCAACCAGAAAACTATTTTCAACTAGAAAATGGCAAATACGAGAAGTACAAGAGAACACAAAACCAGCACATTACCAAGACAGATTTAATCAAGGTGAGATGCTCTCTTCTACTCCCAACTTACCAGCTTTCTCAGTATTATATACTTCTGTGTTTTAGATGACCTCAACTCTTATAAATGAAAAAGGGATAGAAAAGTAAGTCCCCTCAGTCAGAACGGTATGTGTTCTAGATTTAGGGTGTGTGGGGGAGTAAATTTCCTCATTAACCGTAAGCCAGAATACACATCCTGACAAATCCAGGAAACACTGAATGTTCAGCATTAAGAAAAGAAGTCCAGGTTTCTTTCCAAATTTAGATGAGATGGAATCTAGTTTACTGCCCCAGATAAACTGTAAGAAGTCCCTCCAGCAAAAACTTGAACTGCAGCAAGACATATTTTCCTGATATCTCTTGGGATAAAAAAAAAATGCTCTGTGCAACATTGTAAATGACATTATTTGTTCTTATATACATGTTGTTTAGTCTCCTCTTTGTTTTTCAATAGTCATGCAAATGAGCAACACAGTGAAAGGAGCAACTACTTGCTGTATCCTCTTCTGCCATTAGTAGTATTGTCAATGCAACTTTCAGATGTGGAAACCTCCTCCAACTTCAATACTGGCAATGTATGCCTACAGAAGTTGCATGACTTAAAATATCTGCCTGTCCTTTAGGTTTATAAAGATTGCCCTTTGTGGCAAACACTTAGACTCCAGTCTCAGGGTTGTGGAGGTGCTGCAGAGTAACTACAAACGTTGAAGCAAAAAACAGGCCTGTGTCTGACAGAGCGCCGAGTTCTACTGCAGAGTTAAAATTGCTGCATGTAAACGAAAGCCAGAGGACTCTGCAAGAGACCAGCTGAACACTCAAAACGTTTTCAAAGTTCAGCCTACTCTAAGGTATGCATGCAGTAGAGAAGCTGTCCCGGTCTCCATTTCCTTCAAAAGAATTTGAACAGAGACATGGAAATCGAAAGCTTCAGAAATAAGACTTTCCCAATCACTCCTAAGTAGAAAGGCACAGCAAACAGAAAGAGCAGTTTAATATGAAAGTAAAACCTTACCGTGTCTGAACTTCCTTCCAGCAGTATGTTGATTGCTCTGTTCACATCCCCATTACAATCATGTAGCGCCACTATGCACTCATCCTGGTTTTTTCCCGTCACTTCCATAAGCTGGCAGTAAGAGTCAGACATGTTAAAATATCCAAATTATCATCATAAGAAAATAAGAGTTAGTACCACCAGATTCCAAGAAAGCGCATAGCTACTGTGTCAGAGCAAACTAAAATCCTAAATAAAGGTATCTGCATTTACAGATCTGCTTGGGGTTCAGATAAGAAACAGGATGAAACACAGATTAAATAGTATTCAAGAAAGCACTCTTTTGCACCTTTTTTTTTTTCCTTTAACTTCATGCTTGCAGCAAATGCTGTCAACCCCAGAGATAGCAGTATATGAGGGTAAAGATGTAAAAGAACAGGATAGCTCCAGTATCGTCTTCTCTCCCTCCCCAAACATCTCCCTCTTTATCCCACTGTGTGAGAACAGACATAAGTAAGGTAAGCCATGGCTGAGAACAGATTCATCTGGAAAAACATCCAGACTAAGAAAAGGTTATTTTTCAACTAGATCAGCTCCCTCGATCCATTTCAGCATAAGGCCACACAAAAGGCATAAATGATGGCTGCTTAAGGTGACCTAGTACTGAATTATGCTCTGTGGAGCTGCAGTGCACATCCTTCGGAATGTGAGATGGAAATAATCAGTCTGTCATAGGACATCCAGCAACTTCATCCAAAGGAAAAAAAAAAAACAAACTACATGAGCTAGAAATATATACGCACAATGTAAAATATTGGAGATTTCCTAGCAGAAGTTAATTCTTATCCTTCCCACCATCAGAGCTACAGGCACTATATTGACGAGGGTCCTTTCGCTTCAGGAAGTACAAGACTTCACTTCTGGCACAGCAACAGAACAAGTTTATAACAAGAACAAAAAGCACTTAATGCTTCAGAGGAGGTTTTACAAAGGAAAAAAAAATAATCAAGAAATCTGCTCCTCTGTTGCATTAATGCATTCACGCTAATTCTTCTCTCCTTCTGGGTGTACTCCTAGGTTCTTTGTGAGTTGTGATGCGTTCACTAGGACAAAATCACTGATACCCAGAGCAGAACAGGGACCCAGATTCTCAGTACTGCTTGAATTAATGGTCTCAGCTATAATTCGGTAATGGAAGCTCGAGCATCTACACCTGAAATTCAGCATGGTAGAGGAAATGGTGTGAGATTTAATTTTCACAGGTCAATTCTATCATTTTAATGCATACACAGATCTGGCAGGTCAAATTATTATTTTTTTTAAATAACACTTCAATTCACCTTTAAGCTATGAATAGATTTTTACTTTTCCTGAAAACCAGCCAAGATATTAACAAACTCAGTTTACACAGGTGACATTTTTCGTGTGTGTGTGTACATGTGGAGAAGCTGAATGCACTCCTTATTCTGACGATCATTAGGCATCAGGACCATACTAGAGAGATACAGTCTGGAAGAGACATCAGCACAGAAGAGTTTTGGATTGAAGGCTTGTCTACAAAGGACAATACACCGGTATAACTACACAGCCAGAGCTATATTACCATACAATTTCTTGTAAACAGACTTTGCAGTGCAATAAGAGCACCTTTTCCTAGTTAAAATTACATCCTTCTGAAAAAGGTTTCATCTAAATCAGAAACATACACTCTAGCTCCAAAATGTAAGCCAGCTTTGGAGCACATTATTGAAGGGCATAAAAACTCTGTACCATAAGAAACATACTTGTTTCACTTTATCTTCAAAATCTGCATCGTTCTTATCATAGATCATCTGAGCAAGGCGAATCTGTTCTGCTGTTGCCTGAAAAATGCAAACATCCAATAAAGTACACAAAAGGTAACAATATATTTTTAAAAGTATCTCCTAGTGTCACCATATTTTTTTTCTCCAGATTCTCAAAAAGAACATATACAACAAGCAGAGAGGTGCTATGGGGAAGGGATTAACATCTAATCTATGTCCATTTTATAGTTAAAGTTAGCTGGGACAGAAGCAATTTCAACATTTTCTAACATGTTTGAACCACAGTTAAAGGTCACCACGTAGACAAGACAACCATATAATAAAATAGAATTTACCACAGAAGCCTACGCTTTGAAATTATTACTTTTATTTAGTATCTACCACTCCAGAGTTAGTTTTCAGAGTTAGAGTTTTAGCATAACAAACTGGCAATGATATTTCTAAATTAACCACATCTCTGATGATTCCTGCTCACATCACCTTCCACAACCCTCCCAACAACAACCTGACTCTGTAGTTTTATGAGCACTTAAAGAGACCGAGTCATGCCTCAAGATTTTGCCCATGAACAGCTGCACTTATTTTCTTTATAAGCAAATACTGGTCTCTAAAAACTGCTAAAGGATCTTGATAATGATGAAATATTTGGTGCTTCTGTAACATTTCTGGACAACAAATCCATGCTAGCAACTTCTCCAAAAGCTGAAAGATTAAAATGGATGAATGCCATACATCTGTGGAAAGGTCCTCCAGTGATACTCAGTGCAACCTCTCACTGAGAGCATGTCCCATCAGAGGAGCTGCTTGGGGCCAGAGATCCCACAATCTCTCTAATCCATGACCATGTTCATGGTAAACATTTTTTTTTTTTTTTTTTTTTTAAAAAAAACAGATGGCATTTCCAGGGTTCTAACTTGTGCCATTGTCTCTCAGAGAAGAGCCTGTCTTTACCTTTTCTATACCCTTTCATGAGGTATCTGAATAGAAGATACAGCCTTGCCTTGCCGTCTTAGGGCTGAACAAATCCAGCTCCCTCAGCCACCACTCATTCATCCTGTGCTCCAGCCTCTCAACCATCTTCACAGCTCTTCACTGGACTTGCTCCAATCTGCCAATGTGTGTCTTGTGTCAGGGAACCGAAAACTGGGCAGAGTACTCCACTGCTGTCTTACAAATGTCAAAAAAGGGGAAAACACCACTTCCATCAACCTGCTTGCTATATTCCTGCAGCCTTACTTATTATAAAACAAAACCAAATCCAACTTCATCTGTTGACAGTCACTTTTTAAATCCACACATTAGCATGAATCGCCACTATGCAAAGCGCTGCAACACAAGGAGATAAGGGCTTGAGCTCACATAATTAATACTGTACAAAACAGGAGCCCCTTCCTGTTAAAGAAAACAGTCTAGAAAACAGTAATACACAATTTCCCAGGGGAGCACCTCTAGATTGATGCACAGCAGAGAACTGAGGCAATTCTTGAATTGAGTCCAATTTTAAGAAGTACCTGACAAGAAAACGAGCTGCCAGGAGCAGAGACATTTTGCACTCTGTAACTCAGACAAACATACAACTTAACTACTCTGCTACTGAGGATCAAGACAATGGGGTAAAAGCTTAATTTCAATCTTGCAAATACTCAAAATAATTTTAGTCTGCTGGTGGACAACCATCTTCATTTCACTTTGGGAAGACACTGCACAAGAAGTTTAGGATTTTGTGACTCGCAGATATGCTGAATCATGCTGTAGAACGCAGCATGCATCTAATGAAGCTTTTCCCACCCACCCAAATTCCTCTATCGACCAGAAATCTTCTAGCATCATGAGGCTGGCATATGGAAGAGCTGATATCTGAGGACACTGAGGTCACAGGACAGAAATCCTGACACAGGCACAGGCAAAGAATTCCTCACTGATAGGAAATGTCGCTGAAGAACACAAAGCTCCTTCAGAGATAAGAATACAGGAACAACTTAATGCTGTGCTAGATTACTGAGCAATTAAAGCAAGATATAAAACAGGTTGTGATTTTCCCCCGCCTTTTCTCAATTTTTACTGACTTAGGGAAGAAATGCATATCATTACATGCTCACTTTCAACTCAAAGAAGATTATATAGGACCTACCTGTACTACTTGTTTCTGTGGTTGTGTTGGCTGTGTAGTTGAAATTTGCATTTTGTCCCGAGTGCCCCGGGTACGTTCACTGCCCACCGAAGTCATCATATACAGTATATACAAAACAATGTATGTACAAAATAGAAAATCTGAAAGAGGAAGAAAAAAAAAAAAAGAATAAAAGAGCACAAGTTAAATCAGGGTACTGATTCAATACCCAGATAATATACAAATGCAGTAGCTTTAACTCTTCCTGCCTTTACCACGAACTCTATGCAGAAACTCCTGAGAAAGCAGCTTTAATACACTATTATTGGATTTATCAGTCTTTACAGTAAAGGAGGAAGTGCCAGGGATAAAAAGCATTTTTGTCAGCTGATTGGGACCTGTCTAGATCTGTACTTCCAGACGACATCCAAATCTCACAGCTTTTCCCAGTTATTTAACTTTTCTATCCGCTACTCTGCTGAAATTCCAGCTCCAGTTGTATCATTCCTTAAATTCCTGTAATACCTGCTATCTTGTTTTGCTGCCTGAAATTTAACCACTCATATACCTACTCAGAACACCAACACAAAAATCACATTCACAAACCAGGCCGTTCCATTCTTCCCTATTATTAAACTGCTTTCCTGCACACATACGGAGGTTGTGGCCAATGCCCCCTCTACTTCTCACCTCTCATAAACGAGAGAAATTATGATCCTTGCCTTTAAATACAGCCTCTGTAGCCAGTATTTTTGGTTTACGTTCTCCCTCATACTTAAAGAAATTATTTACAAAACTACCTATTACCCTGCCTTAAACATACCTTTGTTGTATGGCAACAAAGAAACTCAAAAGAAAACTCAAATCACACACACAGCCCCCACTGCTATCCCATTTGTGGCAGTCAGCTTTCATTCTCATTCATCCTCTACCATTAAAATTACTTTGAAACAAGAAATTTATTATTCCCCCATGTTTGTACAGCATGCAACACAAGGTTAATTGACAACTATCGTTTATAGTAGCTATGTGTCCTGGTTCCGGCAGGGATGGGGTTAATCTCCCCAGGAGCCGGCAGGGGGATGGTAGACCATCCCAAGTGACCCATGCCCGGGCTATAAGAGGAGCTAGCCGGGGAGAAGAGCAGTTGTCACTCTGGGGTGGGCTACAGTGGTGTGGGTACAGTCGGTGTGCTTGAGGTGTGCTTCCTGGTGGTACTGTAATTGCGTTTTCATCTTTTCTTTTGCTGTTCTGTTAAATTACATTCTTTTAACCCACGAGTTTTGCCCTGACGATTTCTTTTTCCACGACTGTGGGAGTTGCGCGAGCAGCTGCGTGGTTCTTTGTTGCTGGCTGAGGCCAAACCACGACAGTCCTTTTTGGCACCCAACGTGGGGCCCGAAGGGTTGCAATAACAAATTTCTTGTATCCATTTCCCATATTGGTTAGATAGTTGCCGGTTACAATGTTACTTCGTTTGTTTGCGTGGCTGTGCTTTGCAAATTCTTATATGCTCTATCTACTCCCTGTGATGCTGTTTGTTATCTCGGGGAGAGGGATCAGGATTATCATTTTGCTGTCATGTGCAATATCAGCTTATGATATGATAACATCACTACTGAAGTGGCTTTGTTGGGGTGTCTATGCAGTATTGCTGTCTTGTCCATACCTTGGTTACCATCTTTCAGAAGTTATTAATAATATCACCCAATCTATGGGAGAAACAGGGGGAGATACTTTCCCCAGCTCTTTTGCCTCCCTTTTCTCCTTTGGGCCAGATATGACACCTCTTGAGAACTTTGAATATCCTTGGGATGCTCAAACCAGCATGTTTCTATTGCTATGCCTGCTGAATGTTTTTCAGATCTTGTTTAGGGTTAAGCAACTGTTTAAGTCTACCACCCAGAGATCTGCCCCAAGGCTGGATAGTCAGGGGTGGCATGGCATGTGGGAGAACATGGGCAGGTATCTAGAGAATTTCTCAACTCCAATGGTTTGGGACTTCACCCTCGAACAACTCCAGGACCCTGATAAAGTAATAGAATATTTGAAAGGAAAATGCTGTGGCTACTCCAGAGAGGCACAACTTACGGCACTGTGCTGGGCCCTGGCCAGTATCTACCAAACACTGCTCAGTAATATGCAGGACCCTCAGGGGAAAGAGAGGGAAACCAGATTGGCAGACAATGTGGCTACTCCGACCCCGGTGCCAGACAATGTGGCTACTCCGACTCCAGTGGCAGACAATGTGGCTACTCCGACCCCGGTGCCAGACAATGTGGCTACTCCGACTCCAGTGGCAGACAATGTGGCTACTCCGACCCCGGTGGCAGACAATGTGGCTACTTCGACCCCGGTGGCAGACACTGCAGCTATT